GAGACTACCCCTCCTTCCCCAGCAGAGCATCTGGTGGATTCGAACCATGCGCCTCTGGGATTGCAGTTGCAGCTCCTTGCCACTAGGCCACCAGAGCTCTTTAAGACACTTTTTAATTTCACTTCTTTTTTCTTCTAGTACTCTCTCATGTTCAAGCAAGGTGTTGTTCAGCTTCCAAAAGAATGTTTTTTTTCTCCTTTATCCTCTTGTTATTAATCTCTAATTTTGTAGCATTGTGACATGTGAAGATGCTTCCTATTATTTCTATTTTTTTTTAATTTATTAATGGATGAAGAGGAATGTGGCATCAGGATTGGTGGAAGAGTCATCAACAACTTGCGTTATGCAGATGACACAACCCTGCTTGCTGAAACTGAGGAGGACCTGAAAGGCTTGCTGCAGAAGGTCAAGGACTGCAGCCTCCTATATGGATTGAAGCTCAACATCAAGAAAACAAAGATTCTCACCACTGGCCAATTGGCAGCAACAGTATGGATGGTGAAGAGATTGAGATAGTTAACAGTTTCAGGTTACTTGGTTCCACAGTCAACACTCTTGATAACAGCAGCCAGGAAATCAAGAGATGAATTGCATTGGGAAAGTCAGCTGTGAAGGGCCTCCCAAGAGTACTGAAGAGCAACAACATCAGGCTGGAGACTAAGGTGCACCTGATCCAGGCTATAGTCTTCGTAATTACATGTTGTGCATCAGAGAGTTGGACAGTGAATGGGGATGATAGAAAGAGAATTGATGCCTTTGAGCTGTGGTGCTGGAGAAGAGTGTTGAATATACCATGGACTGCTAGGAGAACAAACAGGTTTGTCCTGGAGAAGGTGAAGCCAGAATGCTCCTTGGAGTTAAGGATTCTGAGGCTTTGTCTGACATACTTTGGGCATGTAGCAAGGAGGGATTGGTCCTTGGAGAGAGACATCATGTTTGGGAGAGTGGAGGAACAGCACAGGAGAGGAAGACATTTGATGGGATGGATTGATTCTGTGATTGGGGAGGTGGGAATGAATGTGTTTGAGATGGTGAGGTTAGTATAGGATAGAATGGCATTTAGGGCTCTTGTACATAGTGTCGCTATGAGTCACAAACAACTCGATGGCACATAACAACGTTTGCCTACCTAAAATGTGATCTATTCTGGAGAAGGTTCTGTACACACTGCAAAAGATAGTATACAGTGCTTTTTTGGGATACATTAACCTTTATATATCTATTAGATTGGGTTGGTTTATTGTGTGGTTTAATTCTCAGCATCTTTGTTGAGTTTCTTTCTGGTAGTTTTATCTTTTCTTGAGAGTGGTTTATTGAAGTCTCCTACTACTACAGTGGTGTTGTCTATTTATTTTTTCATTTCTATTAGTGTTTGCTTTGTATATTTTGCAGCTCTGTCATTTGGTGCATAGATATTTATTATGTTTATGTCCTCTTGTTCTATTGACCCTTCCTGGCCCTTTGCGATGGTTTTTGTGTTGAAATCTATTTTATCAGAAATTATTATCACTGTTGTTATTATTGTCAGGTGCCATTGAGTCAAATCGAGTATGACTCATAGCGACCAAATGAACAAGATGTCTGATCCCAGTCCTGTCCTATGCCATCCTCACACTACTACTGCTTTTATTCTGGCTGCCATTTGCTTGGTATATTTTTTTCCCACCCTTTTATTTTTAGTCTTTATCTTCAGTTTTTCAGGTATGTCTCTTGTAGATAGCATATTGATGGTTTGGGGTTTTTTTTGTGTTTTGTGTTTGTTTGTTTGTTTGTTTGTCCAATCTGCTACTCTTTTTCTCTTCAATGATGCATTTAAACCATTCACATTCAGTGCAATTATTGAGAAGCAAGATTTTATTGCTATCGTTTTGTTGAATTCTCTTTGGTATTGTTGCTGGTTACTTTGGGTCATTCTACTTTCTGTGGAATCTCTGTAAGAAGGACTTCTCTGTTTACTGCAATTCTGGTTTTGTTTCTATAAACTCCCTTTGGTTCTGCTTTTCTGATAATATCTTGATCTCTCCTTCATATTTGATGGACAATTTTGCCAGGTACAGTATTCTTGGTTGACAGTTGTATCCTTTGAGTGTTCTATATATGCCATCCCACTGTCTTTTTTGCTCCCTTGGTTTCTTCTGAGAAATTGGCACTTTATTTGCTCTCTCTTGTAGGTTACTCTTTCTTTCTTTCTCCTTAGCTGTGTTCAGTATTCTTTCCTCATCTTTGGTTCTGGAAAATTTTACTCTGATATGCCTTGGTGTTTTTCTTTTGGGGTTTATTCTACATGGTGTTCACTCAGTTTCTTGAATATATATTCTCCCATTCTTCATAATGCCTGGAAAGTTTTCTTCTAGTTATTCTTCCACAACTCTCTCTGTGCCTTTACTTACTTCTTCCTGTTCTGGATTCTGATTATGTGCATGCTATTCTTGATGGTGTCCCACTTTATTCTTAGGCTTTTTTTCTTTTTCCTTCCTTTTTGATTCTGCCTTTTTTCCTAGAAGATCAGTGGTAAGAATTTTATCTACTATTTCACTGTTTCTGTGCTCCATCTCTTCAACTCATATGTCCCTCCAGTATGTTCACAGCATCTGAAACAATAGCCCTCATATTCTGGATTGAGGTTTCTTTCTTTCTTTCTTTCTTTCTTTCTTTCTTTCTTTCTTTCTTTCTTTCT